TCAGAAAATGCGAGATTTTGAGCTAGTTTTCACAGAAAAGTTTTGAGTTTTCGAGAAACTATGACTTTATTTAAAGCACATGTGCTCATCAATGCAATAATGTGAACCGCTAATATAAATATTACCGACGTTAGAGTGTAATACAAATATTAACCACGTAAGAGACAAGTAAAAAATATTACATTTTGCTAATTTTTGAAAAACAAAACAAAAGAATAAAGCAGTTTTATTCAAACCGTGAGGCGCGCCTCCCTGAGCTTAAAAAATTGTAACAAATTTACAAATTTTTGTAATTTTCTAAAATTCCGAGTTAACAGTGAAAAACTTCTGTGGCATCTTTATAAGTGTATTTTACTCTATTCTTTCAAAAAATGAAAAAAACAAAATTGGAGCCATTAAAAAGCCTATGTGCCGCTGCGCGTGCGCAGGGGAGGACACCGAAGCGGCGGAGCCCGAGACGTCGGACGCGCTAGGGCCCAGCCTGGAGCGGCTGAGCTTCGTCATCCAGCTGAACCACCGCGGCTCGCTTTCGTCCCTGGGCCGGCGCGGCTCCGCGGCAGCCGCCACGGTCAAGCTGCTGTCCCCGTCGCCACGCCGCCCGTCCACCCCCGAGCAAGCGCCACCCCCGTCGCCTCCTCGGCCGCCGACCCCTCCTCCGCCCCCGCCCCCGGCGGCTGCCGTCCTCGAGGACTGACTGTCAGGATCTCAGTCGATCGAGCTGACGTTTCGGACATCGTCGCATATATAGCAGCATAGCTCAGCAGTATAGCTCTGAAGGAGGCCACAAGACGATGTCCGAAACGTCAGCTCGATCGACTGAGACGCGGTTCATCCACGACAGCCAAGTAGTATTCATAATCTTAACGCGTTCGACAACTCAACGAGGTGGCGCAGGAATATCGAATTAGGACTGACGCTTGTTAGAATGCTGGGGGTGACGTATCCAAATATGAGTAGAAACTTTTACATGTCTCCTCTCATTTTAGCCTGTTACTACATTCACATTCTTGTATGTTAATAAATGACGTAGAGTATCCTCTCTTTTTTTTAATCTTGGGGGTTCGGAACAATCGGTATGGACTTGCAGAGGATTGCCAGATCTCTTTAGAATAGCTTAACAGCCTAATCTTTTATGATGTTGATGATCTTGGACTTCCATTAAATTTTTACTGCAGATAATATGAATTTCCAGAAATAAAAGAGCCCCTCTGTTCCACAAAAGACAAAAAAGCATGCATAGCACAGTGGCGGAACCATCAAAACCATACCCAGCTCCCTCCCAGACCACTGTTTATTTTTTGTTTTTTTTTCTTTCATTTCTACTTTATTCACAAAAATTGCCACGTAATGATAGCATCACATCCTAATGAGTAGTCCCTTTATGAACAAACATTTTTTTCATGAAAATTGAAAAAAAAAAAATTATTCCCCAAAATATTTAGTTGGGAACTTAAAATTGAAAATAGTCCTCACCATAGAAAGACTTTCTGGTTTTACCTCTGACTTAATATATCTTCAAAAAAACATTTCTGCACATTCAAAAATATTTCCCAAGGGATACTTTTCTTCCATTTTCAGAACTCAGTATGGCATTTAAACCCCTGAAGGTTTTAAAAAGCTTAGAAGGTAATATTTATCAATCTTGAGTGGTAAGACTGCTTTTTAAAATAAAATACCATAGTAATCTTTATTTTAAAGCTTCATTAAATTCTACAAACTTTACTATCTAAAAGCAACTTTACTAAGATTCACAGGCTAAACAAATTTTATTTCTATCATCACTTTCAACAGAACCAAAGCATTCACAGCAGGATAACCAACATTCAATCATTATAACAAAGGAGACTGGCGACAGATGAATAATAAAAATAAAAGAAATAATGACACAACAAATTTTAGAATTTTTTTTGTGCACCACTCTTGATAATAGATGCAATGAAAAGCATTAATAAATAATGTATTAATACATTTTTGTAACATAAATATTACTTTGACTATAATATGTAATAAAAGAATTGCATTTATATTCAACCAGCATTCTTCTTGATCTACTTATGATAATTAACAGATTTTGCAGATCACTGAATCTAGTTATACAAAATGGAAAAACTCTTTTCAGTTAGGATGATAAACATCATTAATTTTTGAATAAAACAAACTTCGGAGATTTTACAGCTTCAAAAATTAGCAACAACAAATAAAAATAAGATTGGTTTACAAAATTGAGAGAGGATTAGGGGTCGTCCATAAATTACATAATGCTGAAGAGGGGGAAAGGGGGGTTTGAGGCAGTCTTATGCTGTGTCACATAGGGGTAGGGAAGTCATAGTTTAGTGATACGTAATGCTGATATTTATTTTTAAAATCTTTCAACATTTGCTGAAATTATTCCTTTTATTCAGTCTTATACTAAATCATTATCACATTAACAAATTAAATTTAAAAATATAATAAATTAAAGAAGTTATATTCTATAAATTGTTATAATCATAAAAATATTTTTCATTAGTGCTATATTGATTGAGTCTTAGTGGGGGAGGGGGAGTGCTTGTTGCAAGCATTATATAATTATTAGAGAGGGTTCAAGTGTGTGTTGCATGTGCATTACAGAGGGGCGAGGGGGTATTCAAAATACTCCAAATTTGCGTTACATAATTTATGGATGGCCCCTTAGGACACCAATATGGAAGCCAGGAGGACCACAAAATATTTAGCTAAAATATGGAAGTTCTCAGGAAATATGTATGGAAGACCAGATCACCATAGTTCCAAAAGTATTAAAAAACAAAGATTAAATTGTAACTAATTATTATAAACATCAATGATTAAGTTATTAAATAATTTAATTTAAACAACAAAAAGTATCATTTCAGTTTATATAGTGATCAAAGTAAGTAGTTTTGATGTAGAGAAGTTCATAATAACCAAATGAAAATAAACTTCACTAAAACAGATAATTTAATTTTAGAAGATTCTTAAGAAAGTTTTTAACAAATAGTTACATATGTAGATGGCCGGTTAAAAGTTTTTGGCTGGTCAATAGTTTCAAATTTGTGAAGAAAATAAGGTTGAGAGTAAAACTAATACACTGTGATTGTTGACTATTATATTATCCTCATATCTTATGCTAAAGATATATATTTACAATAAACTGAATAATTCAACTTAAAAAATAAATTAAACTGTCTTTTCATTTATAAAAGCCACTCCTTGCCTGAATAACTTTCTTGATGACATTTGGCATTCCTATTCACGAGTATACTATTGAGAGTTCATTGATGTATACAGATCCCTAAGTAATGTTTATCTACACACGATAACTTAAGACAAAGACCCTACTTCAATTCCCTAGTTTTAGATTGCACAATGAAGGCCAATTTCAGTGTGCCGAGAAAAAAATATCTTTAATGGGTGTCCAAAATTTTTTGCCGGTAGTGTATATTTATTAATTTTACATGTAAGGGGTTTCAGAAAATTTCATAAAAAATATATTTTTCTCATTTTGTATTTTGAATGAAATACATACTTATTTGTCTGAGTTCTTTATAAGTTAATATTGCAGGACTTACAAATTCCTAATTCAACTGCTCTCATTAAAATTTATTTAAATTGTAACATAATGTTACTAACATTATAAATACATTTCAAAGAGTTAATATTAAAGTAGTAAGTAAAATTGAAAGTAAAAATTATCTCACAACTTCCATTAAAGAGAACCTGTTGAATAAAGATATTTTTAGCAGACTTTTTCACATTATATTTAAAGTCTTTATTATCAAACTACACATAGGCCTAAATAATATATATTTGTTCTTCCAATGAAAAAATTAATCATCAACTTGTGAAATGGAAAATTATTTGATAGTTAAAAACTTTTTGGGATCATGAAGTAATTTGCCAACGAAACAGCACAAGGAAGAAGAATTAGATAATGTTATATCCTGAAGTAATTTTTAATTAATTTTATTGTAAACAATAAAGTAATTCATAACTTTCTTGGAATATTGATTCTATAAATTCATATTTAATCAATAAACAACAAATACAATTTACTATTTTTCAGAAACATTACAGATTCACATGTCTAATAAATTTCTTAAATATGTTTTCACTTGTCAACTTTAATCTTTTATTCTTCACATTTTCGGTAGAATTCTACAAAAAGTATATTGGTTTACAAAAACTTGAGGTGAATCGGAAGTTAAGTGTGTTACGGTTCACGCGCGAGTCGAAGATAACGTGGTTCGGGCCTTCGACCCTCTCTTTAACATAAAACATTCTTGAGTCTACCTGAAGCATTTTATGCGCACACTCATCTTAAAAATCATTTGGAAGATAGATGGACGTCAATACTAAAGAAACTGTGACACCGCCAACTTCCGATCAACCAAACTTGTTATACTAATCAATAATTTTTCAAGTATTCAACAAAAAGCAAAATCATTTTGTCAAGGTTTGCAATTTTTAATGAAACTCACTTACTTACAAATTATTTCTGCAATTGACAAAGTACGATGAGAATATGGTGGCTTCTTTACGCTTATCAAAATGCCAGGACACAACTATAATTAATGATACTGATAACGAGATTTATAACCACCAGCAACTTATCAATAATAGAACAATAGAAGATCAGAAAAAAGAATTAAGTATTTAAATATATTTATATCGAGTTATTTCCACAAAGAATTTCATTTGTCTACATTTTCTCGAGAAAAGCAGCGATTTCTGCCGATTAATCGTTTGTACTCCCAAAAATAATTTTAGGGAAGTGTTTCATTGAAATACACCAAACATCAAGACTTAGTATAAGCAAATATCATTTGGACCATGTTATTTCAATCATTTGGGTCATATATCATTTCTAAATTTAAATATCACTCGGGTGTTCTGTTATTATTTTTAGTATTTCAAGATGCATGCCAATCTCGCATCTTGCAAACACAATACAAACAATTATTTTAATAGTACAAATAGTTGTTACTCCTTGCAAATAGAATCATGCCGTCACGAAGATTCAAAAGAAGAGCTTTAAAGTAAAATTGAAATTATCGTCGGCAGATGGCATCTGAGTGCAGAGAATTCGCCGCAGCGTTTCGCATTTGTTATCATGGCGGATACTATTTTTTTATACATAGAACGAGAAGTGGGGATTCTTTTGATGTGCTATTAATGTTCTTAGAGTTGTGGTGTGAACTAATTTGTTTACAGTTTGTTGAGAGCACGTGTTTATGCTATATACCTTAAACTATGAGAAATCTACAACAACTGACAGAAGAAAAATGGAGATTAGTTTTAGAAAAATTAACGAAATTGTAAGTAATACTTTGCATTAAAAATCAAATTGACTTTTGTTTTGTAACATAACCTTAGTTGTGGCATACTCTTTACAGCATTGGTGTTAATGTGAAACTATTGATTGATCGACCTGATGGAACTTACTGTTTTCGAGAATATAGAGGTCGTGTATTCTATATGTCTGAGAAGATTCTGAAACTTGCAGAAAATGTAGGTGCGACTAACCTCGTTTCTGTGGGCACATGTATCGGAAAGTTCACCAAAACCGGAAAATTTAACTTGACTGTCACCTGTCTGGCTTTATTAGCACCATACGCACAGGTATTTTTAAAATTTGATTAAGTTTAACTTGCATAATTTTGTTTCAATTTTAGGTTATGTTATTTATCTCTGTGAATTGTTTCCAGTATAAGATTTGGGTAAAACCAAGTGCTGAACAACAGTTTCTGTATGGACATCATGTTCTAAAGTCAGGTCTCGGACGAATAACAGAAAATACTCCACAATATCAAGGAGTTGTAGTATTTAGTATGAGTGATGTTCCTTTGGTATGTATTGTTAATATTAATTTTTTTATTAAATATTTTAATATTAATTTTTTTATTAAGTATTTTAATATTAATTAAAATTTAAATTTATGTTGAATATTGTGTAATATTGTATTCTTATTTAAAGGGATTGGGCATTTCTGCGAAATCCACTGCTGAGTGTAAACATGCAGATCCTTTGACCACTATATGTTTCCATGTATGTGACATTGGAGAATACATTAGAAATGAAGATGCATTAGTTTCATAATGTGGTTTTACAGTTTTATTTTGTAAATAAACAAATTTCATTATTATAAAATCTTCTTTACTCTTTAAATTGTCCTCTCCCTGTATGTTAATAAGTAGTTTAACACTCTTTAGAAATTTGATTACTATTAAATGAATCATAAAGGGTGGCCTGAGGGGGGGAAAAACACAATATTTTCGTGTTCGTAAGAATTTAAAATTATTGTGAATTCAACTGATAGAGGAAATTTTGAATAATTAATCAGATAAATGAGATTTTATTTTTAACACATTTTAGTGAAATAAAATGTAATTAAATTAACTGTCGCAACTACAATTTTTTTTTTTTACTGTTAGTCTAAAAATGCCTATATATTCTGTAAGGAGCTGAGCAATACCTGTCGAGTTCAATGGGTGTGGAGAAGTAATTTGAATTGTTCCTAGATAGTATAAGCAAAATGAAATATGTATTAAATAAAACATCCTGAATTGTTGTGGTTTGCAACAAGAGGAAATTAATACCCTGTCTTAGTTTAATAATAAAGTATGATCTAGTCACAAGCTTTCAAATAGTTCATCACTTTGTGCATTTAAAATAATTCTGAGTGTTGAAAGCACTTTTAGCATTTACAGATGTAAACTTCCTTTTCATTATTAAACTCTAGTTTTTCTTGAGCTAGAAATGATAAAAAATAGTGTCAAACATGAAATATATTTGTACTGCCAATTTTCTCCTTTGATGAGGCTATTATCTAAAAGTCTACTGGTTAAAATAAAACTAAACTCAAATTCTTTGATTCATTATCTTACATTTGCACCCTGAAGTACAAAAATTTTATAGACATGAAATAAAATTTAGAAACCGAAGATCTTTGTCACTTAAGTTGCTTCTTTCTATCTAGGGGTTGGGATCAAGCCAGTTTCATGGTAGATTTCTTCTTCAGTCTTTCTAATTATCTTTTTAAATGTGTTACAATATCTTAGAATAATCATTCAAAGATGTTTTGGTCAGCTCTTGCTTTTCTTTCTTGTGTATGCATGGTACATGTATATGTGAGCTGTACTTGAAATGGTAAAACACGATCTCCAAATGCACTTACTCACAAGGAAATGTAATTTAATAAAACAGCTTCTTAAGTCAGTGCAGCATTTACTATATCAATATAGTTCATTGGTTATACAAGACCAAGATTTCTTAATTTAACTTTACTTTCTCTGCAATTTGACATGTCCGTAAAAATGAATAATTTATACTCAATATATTATCACTTATTAACATTTATTATTACTTTGTAAAATATTTAAATTCAGAATATCTTACATCAGACACACACATTACACAACCCCAAGTGTTTTTAGGGGACACAGAATACAGCGAGCAAAACGATGGCTTCAACACAGCATACCTACAGAGAGCAGAGAAGCATATAGCAAAATATATTACACTCACTTTAGAATTCTGGTAAATAGGAACTTCAACAATTGCACACTTCACACAACTCTAATGGAGGTGCTCAGTAGATAGACAAGTTTACAAAACTTGTGCAGAAATCAAGAAAGGGAAAATTTTCTGGTACACAATGCTAGCAAGCATTACTACCAGCACTATGGCCCTATGTATCATAGGCACAGGGGAACAATAACATGCGTTACATACGCAGGTTTGTAACATTCTACCCAAGAATGGAGTAGAACACTTATATTTTTTGTGATTGTCATATAGACACTCCATCTGGCAGTGGAAATGCATTGTTTGACCACAATGTAAATTGTCATCAAATGCAGTAGCAGCATTCAGAAAACTATATATCAGCCACTGAATTACAATGGCTCCTTCTATATTCATGATCAATCAATGTATAACAAATAATACATTAATCATATTCAAAATATTTTTAATGATCATTCTAATCATATTTTTAATGGACTAATTCTGAAAGTTATGAAGTTCAGAGGATGAGTGACGTATCAGTAATATAATTTTGAAACTGATCAACCAAAAGAAAGACTGGTTGCCAGGTAATTTGCATAATTTGAAACTGTATGAGGCAGATGATAAATCTCAAAAGTCTTCAGAATTACTGATTGTGAATTTCTTCAGTTCACTTAAAACAGTGATTTTTCTTTTTAGAACAGTTGATAAATTCCGCCCTTTTCACATCATCAGAGCAAGTTAAAAATGATACACCATATTTTACTCAAAAATGCTAATTACTCACATATTACAGCAGCAGAAATTATTTACATTTCTAGTTTTGAACTCTGAATCTCGAGAAAATGTTTTCTAAGAGCCAAATAAAGTTTTTTCCTGAAAATGACCTCATTCACTTCAATTATTTATTCATCTCTGCTTGATATCTTGGCACTAATCTTTCCATGATTTTGTTTCTTCCAATAATTGCTTAAATACAAATTAAACAAAATTCCCAAATCCTAGTTTTGAGGAAACAGGTTGATTTTGACTCAAATTAAAGTAGTAGTAAAGATAGTATTATTGAATTGAATCTTATCTATGAAATTAAGTCCACAAGTTGCATTTATCAGATGTTCAGATCCATTAAAAAGAAACAATTTTTGGTTGTACATTAAATCTGCTTTTCCATTAAAAAGGAAAAAAGACAATATTTTGTATTACAGCTTCACACAACCTAATCATTGATAGAAAAACAATAAGAGTATTAAAAATAAATAGTAAATTATTTTCTTCCAAAAAAGCAACATGAGTATTGGGGTCCTCTTTTTCTCTACTCTAATAAATGTAATAACAAATACACAATGTCATAGAAATGACTCCAAATCTTCAAACATTTGTAAGTTTGGAAAAAAATACATTAAGTTTTCTGTTTGTTGAAGTGTATTTCATTTGCTTTTGAATACCTGATATTAATTGTAATCTAATTTTCTAATGGCCTTAAAAAATGAAAAGTTTTAAACAAAACATAATAATTGAACAAACATGCCAAGTATCACTGAAAATGTATAAACAATAAATTAACTTGGATGATTTTTACTTTAACTTTGATTTTAATTGTATGCTAATACCAAGTAGCCAAGATGGCTAAATTGTGCGAGGTCCTGAAATGTGGGATCCTTTTAAGATGCCCACCAGAGACGTGGGGTTGCTGATGTTTCTACATCTGCCTCCTCATCGTCTTCACTATCCCTTGGCTACATAGCACTACCACCACGACTGTAGCCCATATTGTGGTGGATGTAGGGATTTCCCGGAAAAGCTGGCACAGACATCCCTCCAGTAGAGTGAGCAATGGCTGCTGCTACTGCTGATGGCATGGTCTCAGTGGGATGCTGGTAGATATGATAGGCTTGAGGATCAGCAGTACCTCCATGCTGTGTGACTGGATGCATCACACTTCCGCTGCGGTGGTTCAAAGTAGCCATTGCTTGCGATTGCTGCTGTTGGTGCTGCTGCTGTTGCTGTTGTTGTTGTTGTTGTTGTTGTTGTTGTTGCTGCTGCTGTTGTTGTTGTTGTTGCTGCTGCTGCTGCTGAGCTTGCCGATGTAGAGGAAGACCTGTTGTGAGGCCTGCAGTGGATAAACCTCCTAATGCAGTACTCATACCCAAATGCGAACGTCCACTACCAAACCCATCCACTGTACGACGAGGTCCCCCCAAGTAACCACCGTCTTCCAGCTCCGACAACACTCCCGCATCTCCCATTCCCGGATGCGGTTGCTGTTGTTGATGCTGCTGTTGCTGGTGTTGCTGCTGCCGGCTGGCGTGCATCTCGGAGACGTTGAGGTTGAGCGGCGTGAGCGACGCGAGGTGGCTGTTGAGCATGTCCCCGGCGCCCCGCCTCACGTTGAGGTTCATGGCCATGGTGGCCATGGTGCCCCTGGCACCCACGGCCGCCTCCAGCTCCGCCGCGGCCAGGGCGGCGGCCGTGGAGTGCGGGTGGCGGCAGAGGCCGTTGTCGCCGAGGCGCGCCACCCCGGCGAGGTCGGCGGCGGCCAGGTGTGGGGGCAGCGCCGCGCGCGCCATCTGCGCCGGGGGCGCGCCGTACTCGTGCGGGCGGCCGGGGCCGGAGTGCGCTACCGCCGCCGCTGCCGCCGCCGCCGCCGCCTTGAGGCTTTCGTGGGAGTCGTACATGGCAGCGTGGCGCTCGTACTCCGTGCAGGGCGGCGCGTGCGGGAGGGTCGTGGGAGGCGGCTTGAGGTCCACGGGCGGCTTGAGGTCCCCGTGCAGCACTTCCAGGTGGGTCTGGGGCGCGGGCGGCGGCGGAGGCGGCGGCGCTGCCGGGAGGTGCGGGCTGGCGGGCGGCGCGGGCGCGGGCGGGACCTGCGTCACCGCGTTGATGATGCCGTGCTGGGCCACGGAGGAGGAGGAGGGCGGCTGCGGTGCGCGCGGGGGCGGCGCGGGGGGCGCCTCGCCCGCCTCCGCCGCCGCAGCCAGCTGCGCCTCGTACGCCCGCAGCTCCTCCGGGTGCATCTTGCGCTTGTGGGCGCGGCAGTTGGAGCCGTTGGCGAAGGTGCGCGGGCAAAAGGTGCACGTGTAGGGCCGGCGACCCGTGTGCAGGTTGTGGTGGTTCTGAGAACAGACGAACGGGGATGCGTTCGCAGTGGATTCAGAATTCCGCAGCGGTTTGACGATCCTGGCAACCCACACACGAAAGCAACGATAGACCGGAGCTTGCGCCAATTACAGATAATCAAAGAGTCTTTATGGGCAGTAAACGAACTGGTAATGCACATTCGAGAGAGCAAGAGACAAGATAAAAAATAAATAAATAAAAAGTAAAAACATACGGGTTTTTACTTATGTAGGGTAATAGCTAAATGACGTTATAAAATAAGGAATTTATTTTGAATTCACAGACAGGCACTCCAATAAATTAATAAACATAACAAGAAATTAAGATGTATGTGACAGTATCAAATTGAGTGCCTGGTAAGATATTTTATGACGGGAGTTTTATACTGAAAGGAAAAGGGAAGACAAAACACCAAAGAAAAAAAAGAACCGTTGGAATATACCAGATCCATGATACTGTAACAAGGAAACTGGTTACAGTATCATGGATCTGGTATTCTCCAACGGTTCTTTATTTTCGGTGATAAAGGAAATTAAGAACTACTTGATAAACAAACAAATCAGTATGAAATGAGAATTACCTTGAGATCCTTGGAACGTTTAAAGGCTTTCCCACACGTAGCGCACTGGTAGGCCTTCACATCCCTATGTACTAACAGGTGCATTCGAAGAGTCCGTCTCGTAGACAATTGATGAGGACACACAGGACACTGGTAGGGAGTTTCTCGATGAGTATCCATGTGTATCTTCAACCGGTACTTGGTTTTGAAACTAGTGGATCACAAAAAAATATTTATTATAAATTTTAAAATAAATATTTACATATATAATGAGCTTAATAATTCAAAATTATTAATTCTGAAATAACCAGAAACATTGATAATGAAAATTAATGAAATGATGGTGAATTAAAGAATACAGTTTTCAAGTTCTTTTCAGATTTCCTTAGAGAAATACTCAATTCTGTTACTACTTTAAGTCGTTTTTACTCTTTTAGGGTTACAAATCTATTCATTGATTTGCTTTGATACCTCTCCATATTTACATCTTTTGATAAATTAAGACAGAACAGTTTTCATGCTTTCATTCACACATGTTTATTTTTCCTTCTGTCTTTTTATCATTCAATTCTTCTCATCATTTATTTTTTCAAATGAAATTTTTACAGGCCAATTCTATTCACCTTCTTTATAAGCAAGTTATTTCATGCTTTATCCTATATATAAATCTAATTTTTTTAACAAGTCTCAATCAATTTTTCAAAGTAAAATAAAAGTCAAATTTCTTCTTTGTACATTTATTGTTCCCTACATTTTCAAAAATATATTCCTGGGCAATGCAATTTACTAAACCGTATTACAAGAGGTGTATCTAGTTCTTAGTGACCTTGGAACAGAAAGTCCAAGCAGGGCCCCTCTTTCCCATTGTCATCAGCGGGTGTCCTCAATCACGGCCCTTGACTTCAGAGGTCCTAGTGCCCCACACCAGTTCCACAAACCTAGCTATACCCCTGCTCATCACAAAAATTATTTTACGTAAGCATCGAGAAGACATTGTTTATCAATATTTTCATTTTTTATATTTTCACTCTTGTCATCTGGAAGCTTTGTGCTTTGTTTTCAACATTGCCAAATTTACTTACTTGAATTTTGTTTCAATTTCTTAGATATTTTTTGCCAATATTTTTGGCTTCCCTAAAATTTATGAAGAAAGCTTGAGAACTCATCAGATGACTTGATGATGACTTATAACATATCAGTTGAAAATGGTGTAAGATAAGCTTTTCATTATTAAAATGACATGTCTCATCATAATGATTAATTCAGCAAAAAGCTTTTTGATTACGTTACAGCCTCTTCACAGCAATCGTGCAGTGGTTTGGAGACAGGAATAAGAACAGCTGAATGTTCGTCTACTTGGCTCACAGCCTCCACATGTTTGCACAGAAGTTGGTTCTAAAGCATCCAAAACATATATTTTGCCAAATAAATTAATAAGATGAGACTTTGTAATATTTATTTTTCTATGCATATTACACCTCAGAATTTTTGACACAAGATGTGTAATTCTGAAAAAAATATGAAAACTGTTGTAAAGCTTGCAAGAAAGCTCTGTAGCCCAATAAATTAATATGATGAGTTTATGTTGCATTCTTCTATGCATATTACACTTCAGAAGTTCGGACCAAAAATGTGCTCTTATGAGAAAAACTCATCTAGCCAGTCAACTTTTTTCCACAAATATCCAAACTGGGTTGTTTTGTAAAAACACAATCGCTTTAGACAACAGAGTAATAACATTTCGTACTTTACTTCACTTGCACAATTAAAAATTTTTGAAATTTCTTTATTTACTACTCAAGGATTTTTTAAGTATGTTGCAATTTTATTATTCAATAAAATCAGCTTAACATTTTTGTGATTAATGTGATACATTTTTATCAAATGTGATCTGATGTAATATTTGTCGTACAACAAAACTCCTAATATTAGAAAATTCAAAGAGAAAAATATGGTAATCTATGCTTCTAATATAACTCAAAGCAACAATTTTGAGAATACAATTTAATTAAAATCAAAGCAGTTACATCAAAACTATTAAAATTCTAATATGCTAATTACAACTGAATTAGTGGGATGTCTTTGCTTTCAAGGCACATTTTACAAATATCAACTATAATTAACTCTACACTAGTCCCACACCTGTGGTACATAGGGTTTTTGTTCTACATTGGTGTACATTGTCGTATAATATTAATTTCAGAGTTTTATTGTAACAATAATATATATTTTATACAAATTCAATAGCACTTCAATAAATGTCCTTGAAATTACCAAACAAACATGCAAATAGAAATAATGAAACAAATGATTGTGATGAAGTTGAAAAGCAAGTAGAACATCATAAAAGGAAAGATAGAGCTATAGAGAATTTGAAAATAATTACTACATATTCCACTGAAAATTGGCATTCTGATTACCCTGCTCTTCCTCTGAATTTTGAATACATCTCTCTCAATGAATACATTCCTTGCAATCAGGGCCAGATTTACAATTTAAGGAACCTTAAGCAAGATTATGTAGGAGAGTCTCCTAAAAAATATTCAAATTTTGAACATGCAATGAAAATGAAAATAATAATTTTAAAATTTAATATTAAAATAATACATACAATATCAACGGGATTTAAGTAATAACTAGTTGAAGTACCCTGCACTGTCCTGGTATTTATCGCAACTGATTAATAGAGAGGAAAAGTGAAAATGGAAGTCACGAAGTGTAAATATTTGATCCCACTGAGATCCATGCCTGAGATGTCCTTGCCAGGCCCTATGAAGCTTTCTATGAACATTATTAATACCACTCTTCATTATTGCTAGCTATTGCTACGGGCTGTTGTTAAGAGACATAGTGTTGTCTACGCCTGACAAATTTCAAGAAACAAGTGTTGATAGATTTTACTTACAAGGCCAAGGAAGCTATTAGAATTAAAAAAATAAAAAATAAATAAAATAAATAAATAAAAATTTAGTAGAAAATTGTACGGACTTTAAATGCTTAAGTTATTCGAGGCAGACAGACCAACAGTCAAAAATTGTAAAAACAAATGAATGTTTTTAATGTTACAGAAATAACCATATGATATTATTAAAATGCATTCATTTTCAAATTAAAGCCGGACACTCAAATTTTAATACTGTAGATAAGACAAAAAAATAATTTAACAAAAACATGTAAAAGTAATTTTTAAATAATTTTGTTGACACCTTAGTGTGACAATCACTTTCATTGCATCATCAAAATGTATTGAGAGCAAACATGATATCTACTTATTCCATGTAGCTAGGAAGTATAAAAACCCATTCAATTTGTTTTACAATATTTTATGGTCAGTCTTGTTTTTACAGGCTAAATTGATGCTAATTCAGAATGGATTCACTGATTTTTTATAGTGTTTTCACCGAAAGGTAGAAAATTTTGCAGGCACAATTGGGCTTCAAGTAATTGACCACCAAATTTGTAACTTGACGTTTGCTGGGAGTATACAAAAATATACCTGTTTATTGCTGCCCATAGCAACAATAAACTGCATGAAATGGCTGTACAGAATGCATTATTATTTAAAAAAATTTCATAAATGAAAAAATAATTTTCATCTTACCTTTTTTTACATTGAGTGCACTTAAATGGTGTCTCATCACTGTGAATTGTAAGATGTTCTTGGAGAATGCCCTTGGATGTGAAACTGTGACCACACTGGTCACAAACAAACGGCCTCTCTCCAAAATGAACAGCTTTCAAATGAGCAGACACATTTGAACGGCTACTAAACCTGCAGAAAAAAAAGAGACTTGTTATATCAATATTATAGATATGAAAGAGAAATTTGAATTTATTTTTCCCCTCTAAGAGTGCTACTGGAGAAAACAGCTTATCAGAGGGAAGGCAGTAATTTAGATGGGAGTTCCTGGTTAATGCAGAGAATACTAAAAACTTCATCAATTAAAAACTATTTAAAAAATTAAATAAAACATAAAATTAAGAGTGTTTATACAGAAGACAAGGAAGACCTTTTGGGTGAATATTTACATGCATTTTTATTCTGATTTTCAAAATCAATATATATTGAGTTTCATTAACCCTTCTTTAGTAGATCATGAAGATTTTCACAGCGCCTTCTTTTGTTTGTGCACCATTGTGTTCCTAGAGTGAAAATTAACTTTCTCCTCTCTGTACCTTTCGGTGAGGGCATAGCTAGGCTGGGGCAACCAGTGCACTGCATTAGGGCCTCTGAAGTCAGAGGCCCCAAATAAGGTCTCTTGCCTCAATAAAGGGTTTCTATTGGAAAACTTCATCTGTGTACTTAATTAAGATTATTCTTCATTATTACCAGAATTGCTTATAGTAGAATTACTTCCAAACAACAAAGAATTTAGCACTGGTGAATTGGTGGTTAAGTGAGGGGCCACATCATGTCAGCTGCTTCAATGTTTCTACCCTTGATACTCAGCCGAGTGAGTAGATAAATGTCTGCTACATTTAGGATACATACTCCAAATGTGTTTGAAAAAAAAATAATTATGAACTCTTTTTCAGAATAGGGTCTCAATGAAGGGGATCTTGATGGCATAAAATCAGAATGATGTCTTCACTCAAATGGTTAAATCTAATTCATAAATAATTGCATACCTATATAAATTAGATTCAAAACTACTGGTTTCATATTTGGCAATTGCAGTTATGGACCCCATTTGAACATTCTTCATCACCGCATCTGAAAACCTAGCTACACCCCTGCCTTCCAGGAAATACATTTCAAAGTGGTTGTGACATGCACAACAGTGATAGTCAACTGGTTTGGATGTATAGTGTGTTTGCAGTCTCTCAGGGGCTGCTTTTTGTCTCTGGAAAAAGAACATAACTGAACAATATGATTTAACAAGTACAGTTGCTATATTAATCATTCAAAACATACAATTAATTCCTTTTCACGATGCATTTCAGGAAAGAATGCACTTGAGAAAGGGTTAATTGTATAAGATATTCTATTGCTATTTTCTCACCAATATTTAATGAGAATATTGCTATATTTGTAATTAATTTGGAAAAGATGTATAGGTTAAATAGGGTTTCTAATTAAAAATTAGAAACAATTAAACTAAAAATACACAGGCACACAAAATAAAAAAAGTTGTCAGACTTAAAGACTTGATAAATGTTTCTCTATGTGTGTCAAAATGCTGAATCCTACTATGAAGCCAGAATTGCACCATCACCCTCCAGTTGTTTTTTAAATCACGAAAAACCACTGTACTATTTGCAATTGACATTTTCACAGTGATTTTTCGTGATTTACTGGAAGGTCGTGGCGCAATTCTGGCTTTGGATTAGGATTGAAGGCATCGACAAACATCGAGAAATGTGGCAAGTCGTAGGCTTCTGCAGAGTATAAGGCTTCAAAACACCAAAATCTAATATGTGTATGTGTTTTCACCATAAAAAAAAACAACAACAACAACTGGACAGTGATGAGACAATTATGGCTTAGGTTCAGCACATAGATATACATAGAGAAACATGTGTCAAGTCTTTGGGTCTGACAACAAGCCCCGGAAACAAAAATATACAATTTCATGATGGTGTTTAATGATAAAAAGAAACAATTGAAGTGGTTGGTGCAATTCTGGCTTCAGATATAAATTCAGCATGCTGACATACATAGAGAAACATACATCAAATCTTTGGGTCTAACAACTTTTTTTTTTTTTTTTGCCTGTGTTAATACTAAAAACAATAAAATAATAAAGGGAGTTTACCATGGGTTTTGAATTAAAATTACACATTAATTTGTGTAATTTGAATACGAGAATTACACAAGAGAAACTTGTATTGCACTAATTTTATACTACATAAACCTTAGTATTTAGAATTCCCTTTGATAAATATCTGGGGATATACTTTGGCTGTAAATTAAAATGGACCCAAGACTACAAATAAAGTGCAATACTTAATTTATATTTCTTTTATAAAATGTTTGATTTTAATACATAGTATCAAATTCATTGAAAAGGTAAAGATGATTTATCTTGCCAATACCATCAAGTGTCCCAATAATGCACATTCATAGTTTTACACAAAACAATGCAAAGCACAAACATTATGTCAGAGAATGCATTGTCAATCCCAACAAAGCATGCAAATATACTATAATCAGGACTAGGATTTGTATGTAATAATATAATTTTTTGTTCATTACTTACATTCACAATTTTGTGATAAATTTATGAATTAGGCTTTTTGAAGTGATTTGATTACAAACATTTGTTCATATTTCCAGGTATAGCACAAATTTTCACGTATTTAAAGAAAATTCCCTATCTTTGCATAATTCAACATTTTCTTCTCAATATTACATTCTTTCAAAGTTTTTTTGGGAACATTATTTTTAACATTTTGTTCAAACACAGCGGTGAATTGAGTTTAGAAGTAGATCTGAATTTAACTCCATAATATTTTTCAAAGTTCAAAAGGACCTCCAATTCTACTTTTGTTGCTAAGTGGCATTTTAGCCCAAAGCAAAATTACGAAGTAAAAAGTAGTTTCACATTTGAAAATTTAAAATAGTGCTTTATAACCCCTCTGTTTTGTAACTGGTCAATTATCACAAAAGCATTAAGGAGATCACTTTCAGCAACACAATAATGTTCAGTTTATTTGAGAACATGAATAAATCTTGTTCTTCAGTAAATTCTAAAACCAAATTCTTTGATTGGTCAATTTCTGTAACCTAAATATTTCATTAAAGCATAAAAGCATACTTTTCACTATTCACTCTTTTTATTCAATTGTTAGTCTATATTTTGAACATCTGAAATTGTTGTACATGTACATATTCACTTACATGTAATTCGATTTAAATCTCAACCCTAATGATAATATTATTGATTGATTATTAATGCCTAATAATTCAGTTCTTTAATTATTAACTAGTTAAAAAATGTTAATTTTTGATATCTAATAAAATATTTAACAGCGATTATTACACAACTATTAAGTAGCTAAAGTTAATTACAAGGAGGTGTCAGCGGTTTTAATAATTCTAGCAAAAGAGTTCTGTGAAAGTCAAAAAGGTGGAGACATTATATAAAACTTCTTTTCCTCTGTTTATATTTTTTATTAGAAGCCATGTAACTGATTATTGTAATACAAAACTAGCTGATATGGAGGCAAAAAGACAGGTTTATCCTTCAGTTATAATTATGTATAATCTATATGATTAAGTATTACTGACTACTAATTTCCAATAGGCACAGAAATTGAAAGGAAAGTATGCCATCTCTGACATTCTGAGAGATGTCTATGGTTTCATTATTCCCAGAAACTTGAGAAAAATCATAAAACAATGAAACAGAGGAAGAGGGATTTTTTGTTGTTGATATTATTGGTCTGTAAAGAACTGTTTTTCTGTATAGATATATACTATACTATGTTATTGTTGTATTAATTGAGACTGTGTTTGTTAAATATTTTTTATTTATTGCAGTTTTATATATGATTATTTGATTTGTTTATCTTGATAAGTGTATGAATCTTTTTGAAAAAATGTTTTGAGTGGTTTTGTTCAGACTCATTTCCTCCGTTGCTGGCTACTAGTTATGTAATAGTTAGGTACACTTTAACTGTATAAATGTAATAATTGTAATAATAAATAAATTCTAGTTAATTTTTCACATGGACATGTGTAGACCTACGTATTTATGTCAAGTGTTTTGTTCTTATATGGATGTTAATTTTTTAAAAGACATAATATTTACCTAAGATTTAACTAAGTAATGTGAGCAAAATCATATAAAATGTTTCATTTTTAATTTTATAAAAATTGTGGGAGATTTAATTTTTTTCAGTTTTAATAGTTTTTGAGAACATGTAGTTGTATATAACTTTTTTAAATCATTAAGAATATTACACATGCTCATATTGTCCAATTTGAACATAAGAGGGAATTGATGTTTGATCAGCTGGGATGTGCTTCAATTAATAAAGTTAAGTCGTAATGGAGCTCCCAATTGGAAAACCATGAAGCCGCTGATTAAACATCAATTTCTCCTATGTTTAAATTGAAGTATAGTTAAAAGATTATGCAGTGTAAGTGAGGTGCTATTAAGTAAACAAGACAACCAAAGATATAGCAAACTTATTTTGTTTTATCTTGTTAAGAGATATTCACAATTTCTTTGTTTCACAAATGATCATTTAGAATTATAAATTGCTTCATTGCCCTTTTGTAAGTAATTAATGTGTACATCTGATCAATTAAAATGATTGCACATAATAAAAAAGGCACAATTTGGGAAAACTATGAATAAAAGTAGGAAAAATGTTTAGTTCATAAAAAGTAACATTGTGGATACCAATTACTACAAGGCACATCAATCTATTTGGGATTCTAATAGAATGAGAGGAGTCTTTTAGCTCCGCTACAGGAAAGAAATAATAAATGTTTAATTTTAAGACATTCCTGTCTACCAGCAACCTTAAAGTAAAGTATGAAAATCATTGCAAAAATCGTGGCATTATGCAAGCATCTTATAAAATAACAGAAACATTGGGAAACCTTTTTGATAGTACGAGATGCCCCTTCCAAATTATGTGTGCATGCTCTGATGATATAAGTAATAGTTGTGTGTACCTACATGGACTCTACCATTACTTTTACCATATATGGAACAGTAGCAGTCCATAACTATACTAAATATGAAACAGACGCAGTCCCATGCAGTTCATGGCAAAAATGCTCGTCAATGAAGTGCCCCACTGACGAGCATTTCTGCC